GGTGATTAATCGATTATAAAAATAATTGTTTGTGGCAGCTCTACTTCAGAATGAGAAACAAAAAAGAGTTGATTTATTGGATTGTGTTTGGTGGAAAATGAGTCATATTTTAAGTTTCATTAAGGGGGAAAACTACAGTTAAAACCAGATGTTTACATACAGTGAATAATAAAATTAAACTATAATTTCCCTTTTTTTTTCAAACCCACATTATTTGACCCGGTTCAAACAGATTAAAGAAACCAAAGATTCAGGAACCAGACGGAAACCTGTGATTTTAAAGAAAGGAATAAAAAACTTGGATATTTAATGAATAGAAATAGTTTCCTAACTGACCAGAAACAAAAATATTAGTCTGATTACTAACTTCAGTGGTCTGGACAMCTTCACGGTTATCGTTGGATGTTTGCCAAAATCAGACAATGTGGACTTGGGGTGAGAAAAGAGGYCGTGCGTCTGGTCATGAGGGAACTGGATCCAAGCGGAGTGTCCTTAAGGCAAGGAAGACGTCTACAAGAAGGAACTGCTTCTCAAAGGGTCCAAACTTTATTTGGCACATTGACTCTTATGATAAACTGAAGCCCTATGGCATTTGTATTAACGGAGCCATAGATGGATTTTGGAGAAAAATGATGTGGCTTAACGCCTACACAACAAATAGTGATCCGAAGGTGATTGAGGGATATCACATTGAAGCAGTGCAGCGTTTGGGTGGGTGCCCGAGAGTTGTTAGGGGGGATCTAGGTACAGAAGACGTTTCTGTCAGAGATTTCCAGCGTTTGCTCCTTGACATTCAACCCAACGACCCTCTTGACAGCTACCTGGAAGGAGCAAGCACAGCAAATCAAAGAATAYAGTACTGGTGGTGCTTTCTTCGTATGGAGTGCATGGAGTTCTGGCTGTCCTTGTTRGCTGACCTGAGAGACAARGGATTCTTTGATGGTGGCTTCCTGGATAAAAACATCCTGCAGTTTTGCTGCATGGGACTCATTCAGGTGAATTAGTTAAGTCTAGTAATTTCATATGATGGTACAGTAATGACYGGAGGAAGAGCCTATCTTGAAATTACAAAAAAAGTGAAATTACAAAAAGTAAAATAAAGAACATATTTTTCTCTGTACTGTGTCTTTGTAAGGCACCTTTACATGAATGTAATAGTGATGATGGTGGCGTTAGTAGTAGTAAGACTAATATAAATCATAAGTCCACTTGTGCTGTTAATGTAACGTCTGTGATTTCAGTTGTCTTTATGGTAAATATCTCATGACTTTCACTTCAGATCTGAGTAAACATCACTCAGTCCTGTCTGTAATTATTGTATTTAAATTGGTAATCCTCAACTAACTCCATGGAGCTCATGTGGGTCCAGAGTCTAAGTAATWGATTTAATTTCTAACATTAGATATTACTTATTTATTAGATGCTCTGAAATAGGTGTTTAATCAGATGTTGTGTTCACCTGGTCTGGATATAAATCAGGTCTACAATCTTATGTAGGAAGTACTTTATGTTTATTCTAGTCAGCCTTCATACAAGCATGTATTTAGTCTGTCAGCTACCAAGTTGCCTAGCTATACATATAACTTCCTGTTTTCACTAATGGGTATTTCAAAAATAAAATTGTCTTTCAAAAAATATAANCAGTACTTATGTTCCCCAGTACTTTTGTTCCCCAGTACCCATGCTCCCCGGTACCTATGTTCCCCAGTACTGTTGTTCCCCAGTACTTTTGTTCCTCAGTACATATGTTCCTAGTACCTATGTTCCTCAGTACCTATGTTCCTCAGTACCTATGTTCTACAGTATCTTTGTTCTTCAGTACCTATGTTCCTCAGTACCTATGTTCCCCAGTACCTATGTTCCCCAGTACATATGTTCCTAGTACCTATGTTCCTCAGTACTTTTGTTCCCCAGTACCTATGTTCCCCAGTATCTATGTCCCCCAGTACCTATGTTCCCCAGTACCTATGTTCCTCATTACTGTTGTTCCCCAGTACTTTTGTTCCTCAGTACCTACTGTATGTTCCCCAGTACATATGTTCCTCAGTTCTTTTGTTCCCCAGTACCTATGTATGTTCCTCAGTACTGTTGTTCTCCAGTACTTTATTTCCTCAGTACCTATGTTCCTCAGTAATTTTGTTCCCCAGTACCTATGTCCCCCAGTACCTAAATTCCAGAGTACCTGGCAGGCACTGTTCAGGGGAAAAATACATACATATGGACCCTATTGATGGTAAATAATACAAAGTGGTCAGTGATCATAATATACTTTTATAGAAAATAATGCCAGATTGGGAAATAGTATAGAGTATTTTGACAGAACCACCTGGTTAACCCTGTTGCTTCACAGTGAAAATGTCCTTGGTTTGATACCCGGTTCATACCTGGAGTCTTTCTGTGTGGACTTTACATTTTCCACTGTTTGCCTGGGTTTTCTCCAGTTTCTTCCTGCAGTCTTAAAACACACGTTTATTTGTCTTCAGGCACAGGCCTCACATGCAAAAGATCTTAAAAGGATTTATCTGGTTAAATAAATAAATATTATAGTAGTAAAGACTTCACATGTAACTGAATCCTCTCAAATATAATAATAACCAATTATTAAAGTTGTACAAAAACAGGATGTGTAAAATCTGCCATCTAGGAGTGGTTTCTTGGTAAGCAGCATGCACTGAAACACATTGCTCCTCCTGGTTGTGGCATGTACTGTAACCTCGTGTAAAACCCACAGCTTGACATTTTTATTTGTCAGTTTTTTTCAGACACAGATGCACCAACGGACAGAAAAAAGCATTAATTATGTTGGCTTTACCAGCCGCGGAGCTTTGTGAACCGTACAAACATGAGACTGATTACAAACAATGCCAAACTGAACAGGAATACAAATAATTGTATAGAAATAGCATTGTGTTTGAATTATTTTGAAGCCTTTACTCAGTCAGATGTGTCTCAGTTAAATAAAGAAAAGGCTGTGGCTTGACTCTTTGTTACAGTAATTACATTTCAGAAATATTACCCAGTGACTGAAATGCAATAATAATAAAAAGATTTTGAAATAGTCTGTTTATTTTGCATATATGTTTAAAATGGGATGCATGGCTTGATTTAAGGTCAGTGAGGTCGGTGCTGATTCAGCACTGGTAATTTCCTCCTTTTAATATGACTCATTTTGGTAAAAAATAAGAACTCTAACAATAGTACAGGCGTTTAGAAAAGACCATTCATTCTGACGCTGCATCACTAGATTTCTCACTCACACACACTTCACACACGCTAACACATTTACAGTGGGGTGCAAAAGTTTGGGCACCCTTGTTTATTTTTCTGATTTACCTTTATAAATCATTGATTTTTTGGATAAAAAAATCAGTTAAATATATCATATAGGGGACAAACACATTGATATGTGAGAAGAGAAAAGAATTTTATATGATTTACAGAAAGTGTGCAATAATTGGTTAAGCAAAATTAGGCAGGTGCATACATTTGGACACCGTTTTCATTTTATTGATTTCAAAACCTTTTGAACAAATTATTGGAACTCAAATTTGGTTTGGTAAGTTCAGTGACCCTTGACCTCGATACACAGGTAACTCCAGTTATGAGAAAGGGTATTGTGGTGGCACGATTTACCAAGAATGCAGAAACACGTTGGAATAAAAGCACAGAAAGTCTGCGTGTATGGTCGTCAAATGATTTAATTTGAGCAACAACAGAGCAGAAGTCAATCAGAGAAGTCTGTCAAGTTGTGGCTGGCTCGTCAGCGCTGAGCAGCCGATAATATAACATCCTGTAACATCCTTACAACCAATCACAGTTCGCCAACTGTGAACCATCTAAACAATGACAGGGCTGTCAGCCCAGAAACACCTTATCAAAATAAAAGAGGTCATGCATTGCTGGAGTCTTGAAGTCTGGGCCGATAGATTAAAACAGCCGAAACTAGTTATCATGAGATATGATTACTGGACAGTGTCAAGGTAGAACAGATAAACATAATTATTACATAACAGTATTTAAGGGAGGCAATTGCAAGTTTTTCTCCTCTTTGCAACTTCTCTGAAGAGTGGCAGCATGGGAGTCTGAAAACAACTTTCAAATGAGCTGAAAACAAAGATTGTTCACCGTCATGGTTTAGGGGAAGAATTTCTTTTATCAAATATTTCTCATTAATTGAATTTAATTCAGTTTATATAGCACCAAGTCTAAATCTAAAGAAGCCAGCAGACTGTGTTGAATCTTTATTTCACCACAGTCTCCCATCCTGAGCAGCACATTAGTGACAGTGGAGAGGAAAAACTACCTATTAACAGGAAGAAACCTCCAGCAGAACCAGGCTCAGGACAGGCGGCCATCTGCCTCGACCGGCCTGGGTTTGGGGGACAGGAAAGAGACACAGACAAACACAGGAGGACTGGTCCAGGTGCATCTTCTTCTGAAAGAGAGAGAGAGAGAGAAAAAAAACATGTTATCGATGGAAATAATTACAATAAACATTTCAAGGAGCTTGGTTGTTGAGAGCTTTCTATGCTATGATTACAGATGTTATAACTTCTCTTTATAAAGTTTTCATAAAATTTCTTATAGTTTTGACACATTTTATATATGTCAAGAGAGGGATTAAAGAAATTTTGTAACTGATTAATTGAATATTAGATTCATTTTTGTGTTTTATACTTTCTGATCATTTCAGTCTGTAAGGTTAGAACAGACAAAGAGTTGGTGTGTGTGTTACCATGTGTTCTTTCTTTTAGCCTAAACAAAACTGAGTACGTTCTGAAAACAAACTCACCTGTAAGATACTCACCTGTAAGATACTCACCTGTAAGATACTCACCTGTAAGATACTCACCTGTGTATACTCACCGACATGGACAGCATGTCCATGGGGCCTGCAGAGATGGACACACATATATTTAGGTTTTAATGTAGGAATGATGTGTTGAAGTTAGTGAATGTTTGATTATAAACTGTGAGCTAAAGACGAGGCTAACTGACCTGACTGCAGCTGCAGCATCCAGACACATCTGACTGAGAGCCAGGAGGAAGCCTGAGGTGAAACCAGGTCCTGAWGTCAGAACTGCATCGGCCCCCATCTCATCAGCCAGCAGGTGGAGCTGCTGAGCAGTGCTGGTCCTCACDGCTGGACTCAGGTGGCTGAGGAAGGACACAGACAAACACAGTCCTGTCAGTCTCTGCAGCTTCTACAGGTCTTTGTAGCATTTTGTTCAGTGTGTTGACCTTACCTCAGTCCATAAGGAAATGAGGTAAGTCAATAAAACATTGCATCTGCCTAGAGAAATGATATAGACAGTTTGATAACTATCAGACCTCATTTTTGGAAAGGTTTCTCAAGCAATTGCGCATTCACTCTCACTTGTGAAGAGAGATCAAGGGTGGGGGGGGGGTGTACACATTTCCACGTTCATTTCAGTTTTGATACATCTGGAGTTTTGCGTGGAAAATGGCGTACGCAAGGTTTTTGTGTGTACGCACCGTTGATACATGAGGCCCCAGGGCCCTCGTGTATCAAGGTGCGTACACATAAAAAAGTTGCGTACGCCTGGTTCTACGCCCATGTTGTAGTGTTGTGTTGTTCACGAATGATTCGTTCATTTTAATGAATCAATTCAGTGAACGAACCGAATCAAATCACTTCATTAACTGATTCGTTCAGTTCCCAGTACAGTTGAGCTCACAGCTCACCAACACTCCAAGCTAATGTCTCTTTAAGGGTGAATCACAAGCACAGCACCACTCCTGTAGTGGTGAACGATGTAAGTGCACTGATTCGTTCAGACTCCCATTGGTCTGACACAGCGTCACTCGCCCAGCACTGCCTCTCACGGTCTGGAGTGAAACCTGCTGTGAGCAGTAGGTTTGTAAATCTTGAGTCAATGAAAACTGGATATAAGTGGGAAATACTAAATAAAAAGCAAAAAAGATTTTAAAGTATTTAAATGAAATATCCACTTAAATCTAATGAAAATAAAATGAATGTAACTCATTTACAATTAACAGCTACATAATAAATCAAAAGCCTGAAGAACCATAACAACTGAAAGTTCTGTAGCCTATTTTTAAACAATTTTACATATTATAATTTACTGTATATATGTGAAAGAAAATACAACCCTAAATATTCTAATTAAAAAAACAAATAGATTAATATAAAATAAATGAAGATCCAGAAATGCCAACATAAAATCTGAAAGCTCTCTCTAACTACAATAAAAATATAAACAAGAAACTATCAAACTACCAACACTAAACATTTTACACATTTTAGAAGATRATGAGCACGTACAGTTTGTGTGACTAAGTCATGAGGTTGTATTCTAATGTTTTCAGGAGCAGAGAGTAAAGATCAGTGTGTTTGGCTTCATTTTGGTATTTTTTGTGTTTATTTTTGGTTTTTGTTCTCCCTTCTAGTTAAGCTCTTAACTGTCAGCAAGCCATGTTGTCAGTGTTTTACAGGCTTTTCCTTAAACTTCAATACAAAAGAATAAATGTGGAAAAATCATTGCATTTAAATTGAAATGTGAACAACCAAATAAAAAAAATCAGATCAGATGTAAACATCTTAATTGAACAAGACCAGCAGTGTGAACTTAGCTTTTGTTTCTTCACATACTGTACCTCCTCTGGCCTCTGATTTGGTGATCCTTGGAAGATCGCAGATTTCAAATCCATGTGTGCTCACAGGTGTGATGGGAATTAATTTAAATTGGGGGTTAATAGAGTACATTTTCTCTTATTACTCATAAAAAACTATTAAAATAAGTTGCAAACGTTTCAGTGTTAAAATAATTAATCTAAACTGGCACAGCACTCCAGTTTCAAACTGCTGCTGCCAGGATCTGTTCACTGTAGAGCTGTTGGCTTTGGGCTCAACCTTGTTGTTCTCTTTAATTTCCTGTTGATCGGGTTCAGGGATCTGATMTCCTGCCTCTGCAGGACAAATAATCTTGTCAATCTGCTGACTTTATGATGGACGTTATCTTGACTCTCCCCCACCAGCAGCACCAGCACTCCCCCTGCTCACGGGGGAGATTATTAGCTCTAAAARAAATGTGATGTGACGAGCTGCTATTTCAAACATCACAAAAAACAGCAACTTCGCAAAAATCTTGTTTTATTTCTAATGTCAGATTTGAAGTGCGGGGGGGGGGGGGTGCTCGGTCTGATCCCAAGGTCAGAGAGGATGAAAAATGAAGACTAACAGGGAGGGAGGAAGAGGTCACGAGGGAAGAAAATACGTTTTCAAAGGAAAGGGAATATTTTGGGTCCAATCTGAAKCATCTGTCACTTTTTTCATGTGTAACATCGATAACATCTGAAACTGTGCGCCGGGACTCCTTACTTTACTATCAACACGTTTTTTGTTTGTTTGTTTTTTTGCTAAAATCTGTCACGTATTTAAACCAAACACTGATGCAGCGTTCTCAGGGCAATAAAACAAGAAAGATTTGAGTCTCTGCCTTAGCGTCCACACAGAACAGCTCAGGCTCCCTGTTACAGAACATGTTAGCTGCTGGGGGACATCTTTGCGTTTGTTGAAAGACGGATGATCTTGACCCTTAACTTGACCTCGGTCACCGAAGCTAAAAGCAACACTTCGTCTCTCCTCCAAGAGACTTCTTCAGTCTGAGAGTTTCAGGCAAAATTCAGGTTTTTAAGCACTGCTTCCATGTGACTGATACTCATATCACATGGCTATCGTTGACACCTAATTAACACCTATTGTTAACAGGGGGTGGAGTGATACTGGCAATAGCAGCACTGTAGGAGGGGGACAACTGAAATCGTTTTCAGACATGAAGCAGGATCTAATGGTGCGTTCACACCAAACGCGATTTCAGCATCAGGAGCATCAGGTTTACATACAAAGTCTATGGTGGACGCGCTTCAATCAGCGTCGGGAAGTGCTGCGGCGCCTCAAGCGCGATTAGAGCAGCGCGATTTGAACGATTTTAACGAGTTGAACGATCTGAGCGTTCGACGCGCTGAGGCGCAAATCGCTGAAGTTAGAAAATCTGAACTTTTGCAGCTCGACGCGCCGCATCAACCAATCAGAGAGACTCCACTGTGTGACGTAGCGACATATTTCCTGACGGGACAGTTTACTGAATGATGTCCACTAACCTGAAACAGATGGAGAGGAGCTCTTTAGCTGAAATGAGTGCCTGCAGTCGTGTCCTGATCCGCTCCAATGCATGGCAGCGACTCATCAGACTGGAAAAATAGTCCTGAAAGCGAGCTGTGAGCCTCTACTCTGAATTATCTGGTGAATTAATAATGAATTAATTATCTGATGAACGTGACATGCTCTTGCTCTCTGTAAATGAAACAAAGCCACTTCCTCGTCCAACATTAAACAGAGCCCGACAGAGGAGGGAGGGYRGGGGAGGCTGTRGCCGTGCAGCGCTTCAAGAGCTGTCCTGCGTCTGACCTCAAAGTGCACAAGCTTCAAACTTCAGCGTTGGCTGCGATTTTGAAGCTGAAATCGCGTTCGGTGTGAACGCAGCATAAGGATGTCGTCATGTAGGCCTCGTAGCCCACAGTGTTTATGCTTTTGACACGCCCACTCTTGTGACACGCCCACTTTGATTCCGCAGATAACCCCTTCCCACAGATTCATTTGACCGTGGTCTGATTCATTTGACTCTCCTGTTTAACAAATAAATACTCTGCAGGGACTAAAAGCAGCACTCGTTTTGAAGTAAAAAGATGTACATTGTACATGTATGAGTCAGTTTTTGGTGGTCTGAGTGGACCCCAGCCCCCCCAGGCAGACCCTCTTAGCTGCGGCCCTGTACGACTGCGCGTGCGATGACGCCTAAAATTTCGCTGTAATTTTTCTCCTCCTGCTCGCTGTTGCTCTTCTCCTCCGATGTAAACCATCTTGAGGGGGTTGTTGAAGCATTATTTTTCCTCTCTCTTTTTATTTAATTTATTTGTCAGCTCGTTCTAGATGTTATTAACCGTTTATTTTCCTCCACCTCCTTCGGACCATTTCCTCCTCGCCTGACCGCATAGTTTAGATGTTTTTTTCGTTGCTCCTTCTTGTTTCATGTCGGTGCATCCCGCCTCCCTGTGCTCTCAATAGATGGTGCAAGTTAAAATGTCCAAATCGCCCGTAGAGCCTCTGTCTGCTGTGGAAACCGGCTCTCAGTCGCATTATTTTCAGGTAAATCCTCACTTTTCACGATCGGCACCGACGGAGCTGTCCTCCGAGGGGATGATTAGCTAAAGATTTCAGATTGTTGTCCGAGCGAGGCAGGTGGTCCTTTATCCCCCTGCCTGGCTTTAGACGACCTGCAGGTTGATGTTTGAGAGGTTTGAACCGGTGCTATGGTTAAATCTGCACAGAAAGACCGGCTGACAGCTCGTCTCATCAGCTGGTTCAGTCACAGATCAGGCCTGGGTGTGCATTTCATGTTTTATTATTTATTTCTGTGATTTCCTGCCAGGCTTCAGCTACAGTAATAAAAAAAAAAAAAAAAAAAAAAAGGAAAAGCAAGCACAGCAGCAGCATTACTGGACTGCAGGGTTTTATTGGTGTTATTGAGCAGATCAAGCTCTAAAATTTGTGTTTCTGTAAGAAAAGATATGAGTTTGTCTTGGTTACACCTATTTATTTCTCTAAATACATTGTAAGAAAAATGAGCATGAAAATAAGCCAGTTTGTTCCAGGAAGTAAGCAGGAAAAAGTCCTGAACTAAGCAAAGTATTCAGAATAAATTTGTAGTATTAGTTTGCATATTTTAACAGTGGATGGTAATGTTTTTATTTTTATTTATTTTATTGGCAAATTATGCTTTTTGTGGCTTAGTCCTCTTTTTTGCCATTATGTGTGCACTAAGTGTTTTTTACCACTTCAGTAGAAAGCAGTACTAAATATCTGAATATTAGTATCTTAGTTTCTTCATCATCAGTGTTTTTTTAGATAGACAAGAAAAGATTAGAAATAAAGGAAAAAGGAAGGAAAGAAAAGAAAAGTTACAATGTAATGGAAAAAAGTGAAAGAAAGAATTGATGATATGTGAGATATACGTCAAGAAAACAATACAATACATCCAACATCTGTCTGCACACATGCAAAGAATTAAGGTTACAAAACTTAGCAAAAGCATACTAGACGTAAACAAACACTGCACTAAGTGTTAATTTATCTAATGAATCACTGAATAGATTTTGATGAAAGTGTCAGAAAGTAATCACTGAATAAACTTCTACATTCAGGATATCCGGCACAGCTAAGGGGTGTAAGAAAATATCGATACACTGAAATATCGCAATATTTCATTTCCCGATACTGTATCGATATTCTAAAGCCCTGTATCGATTTTTTTATTAAGGTTTAAAATGTCAACTTTCCTGCCAGCCGTTCATTTTATGTTGTAGTTCAGCCTCTGACCACTAGTTGGCAGCAGTGAGCCAGCCATTTGGCTCCTCTACCTGTTGAGGTAGAGGCTATTGTTAAGTGTTGGGTGACCATATTGTAAATTAATATTAAAAACTAAAAGCTGCAAAAAATATATTTTCAAACTATTTATTACAATGGGAAATTTAGGCTAATAATTGAAAACATGGATGAAATAAGAAATATGAAACAAATAAAATAAAATACATACAAAGCAGAACACAGCTAAATGTATCAAAAGTATGTCTATGTAATATTAGAATTTTCTGAGACAATGAATTTTGGTTTTTCATTTTTTTCCCCTGTAAGAGGTTTTTAATTAATAGAATTTTTGGACAAAAAAATCGCAATATATCGCCTTGTTTACAGTATCGCAATATATCGGGATATATCGTATCGTGACCCCTCTGTCATGATATGTATCGTATCGCCAAATTCTTGCCAATACACAGCCCTACAGCTAAGTCGCTGTAACATCCACAAGAATGTCTGTAACTCAGTCAGTTTTGAGCTTAAATTCAATATGTTAGAAGCTCAGAATCATCCTCAGCTCTTAGTACTATTGCAAAACACTGCATTTAACCTTTCTGGTCAATTCTGCCTGTCTGTTAGTAAAATATCTCATAACCAATTGGATGAATCTGAACAAAAAACAGCATTTCAAGGTGGCTGCCACAGTTAGGAAAAGCTTGCAAACACAAATATCGTTTTAACATATCACATTTTACAGATACTGAGCTGGGTGGTAGTAGCTGACACACGTGCACACCCCCTCAGATCATGAGTTTCGTGACTTTTATTTTTTTCTTGTCATTTTCTGATATTCTGCATGGCATCTTGCTTTTATTCTCATTTTTTAATCTAATTCATCGTGATAGTACAGTAATTATTGTTCTTATTTTTATTTTATTTTATGTTTATTTTTATGCGTACCATCTTTAATTCTATTATTATTGCTACAGTTGTTAATGTCACAAAGCAATATACTGTACCTGCTGCTGCTATTACACCTGAATTTCCCTGCGCGGGACAATAAAGGCTGTTTCTATTTTATTCTATTTCTATTCTAAATATGATACAAACTCTTTCATGGAATGTCAGACTTTTATTTATTTAGTTGATTTCCTTCCCTGTTCACTTGCTGTGTAATTCAGGTCAAATTTGGGGTTTTCTTTCAAATTTTGGCCATTTTTAACTTACATTATGGATCAATATGACCTATTTAAAAAAGCCTGTTTCGACACAGCTCATTGCAGCACTTAGTATTTGTATTATTTTACGTCTCATTTTGCATATTTTAACTTTTTTCTGAGCGACGACGACATAAAATAGCTGCATCGTCTCTTTTGGGGCGTAACGTAGGTTATCAAGACTTTTGTTTTAAGCTCAGTTTGATTTAAATATACGCACTTTATGTTGTTAAACATTACCAAATCTTTCTTAACGTGTGTCTTTTTTTTTCCTCACAGTTGCCCAGGAAGTTGCCTAAACGCAAGAGTCGCTTCAAACGCTCGGATGGCAGCACATCTTCTGACACGACATCCAGCTTCATCAAACGTCAGGTAAAAGCTTCCTTTGTGCACAAAATGTTCAGCACACGTCGCTGTCTGTGACAGATTTCAGACACTAAACGTTCGTGGGAGGGAATGACGCTTTCTTCTATGGAAAATGTAGGTCATGCTGTGTGAGAGTGTGAATAAAGCTCTTATGGTTTGAAGGGTTTCATCAGAGGATATTTGTCTGTGGGTGTTTTGTTGGATCCAGTGCAGAACCTATATGATTTTTTTTTTCCAGGAACCGGCAAATAGCAAGGATTCAAAAACACGTATAGTTTAGGATTTTTCAGATTCCTCATCGTTTCTGTTCTTGTTCTTTCACCAAGCCCTGTTGCGTTAAATTGCAGGTGTTGCTTTGTCCAGTAGAGGGCAGCAAAATGCTTGAAAATGAAAGTTTGCTGCACTTGAATCCCCACACAGCTCAGTTTTTAATTAACATTTTCAGGTCAGGTGTGTGTGGAAGACTCGTATGGAGCTTTGGTTTTATTTAACACAGTCTCTATGACTGAAAAAAACAACAATTCTCAAATTGTTTTAGTGTGGTTGTTGTTGATGATGTTCTTCTCTCATTTAAACTGTTTTAATGGTCGTTTACCTCCACAAGATCTTCCTAAAAACAATAACTGATTTGGGTGTCTGTGTGAGCTGTCATTTTTATATACATTAGACAGCTTATTTACACTCAAAAATAAAAAAAAATATGATAATATTTAATTAATAACATTTAAGTTTTCTGCATCATCAAAACTTTTTTTTTTGCTATGTTGCCAGCAGTAAAGGCTTAGCATTGTAGCTTCTACAGTGGATCACATGCTCACGTGGTCAAAACTCACTTCATTTGTTATATGACCCTCCATGATAATACCTGATTATCTACGTAATTCATAGCTTGTTTAATTGAGCCATTTGTCAAATTAAGGTAGTAATTGTTGTACCAGCATCAGCAGGTAGTTTAATATAAGTTTTTGTTACAATATGTTTTAACTTTAGGCTTTGTGAATGTGTGGCAGATATAATACACATTTGTAATCGAGCAAATATTGACAAATTAATAAAGTCGGTCATGTGTAAAACGTAATATTCAAATATTTATTATATGCAGGCTTCTACAGGGTTTGTAGAGTGGTGTCCAAAGCAAATAATAAGGCATTTGATTCACTGTTAAACTGTTCATTGTAGTTATTATTTGGAGGTTAAAAAAACTGATTTATTTTCTCCTGAAAGAACACATGAGCTGCAAAAATAGGGTTAAAAAATACCTCAAATTCATCATTATTGTGAGGAAAGTGAAGCTGTGCAACAGAGGGATGTTGGTGAGAAAAAGAGGGAAAAAAGGGCTGAGCAGACAATTCTTCAGGGAGGAGAGAGAGAGAGAGAGAGAGAGAGAGAGAGAGCGGAGGGGGACATTAGTTATCCTGATCGGGCAGCTCAATGACAACCTCCAGATTCCCACCGAACACTGTGCGGTTTAAAATATTCATGATGCTCATTGTGAAGGCCTCGGGCAGCGTGATGATGTGTGGGTTCAGCGCTCACACAAGCACCTTTTAGTCTCTTTTCAATCATCGCCTTACCTCTGCATTCACAGCAGGCGCCCACTTCCTCCTGCCCCACGTCGGTGATGTGACAAAGTGTTTCATGCAAAGGGAGTAAAAAAAACAAAAGAGAAATCACAAACAGAGCAGAGAGTTTCTTTGCCTGTGCTAGGGGTAGGGCTGTGACTATGGAGGAGCAGTGGAGTATGACTCATTTCTGCAGCAGGATACAGTACAGATGCATGTGTTATATGTGGGACAGGGTGCTTTTGGAGCAGCGGGAGGAAATCTGGAGGGAGTGCTTTGGTAATAACAGCTGCTCTCTCTCTCTCTCTCGGCTACTCGCTCGTTGAGCTGGACTTGAGGAATAATAGGTGAGAGGGATGTAAATTGAAAAGGGGTGGTGGTTATTTTTTTATGTATTTTTTTTCCTTCTTTTTGTAGCGAGTGACGCAAATGCAACGTTGGTCGTGGGGTTTGTGATGCGATGTTGTGGGGTAAGAATAGAAAAGAAGGTGCTGCCGGCGGCTGCTCCGGTGCAGGTCGTCCCTTGTTAGTGCGGTCTGTGTGCGCGCAAAGCGTGTCGTTTGTGTGTGGAGGAGGGCGGATCGACGGCGGCAGCATCACCACGCGAGCTGAGTGAGTATATCCGACCAGGATGCAGTTTCAGCCTGTGTGTGTGTGTGTGTTCCCCGTCTTTCTGCGTCGCACCGCAGGTTCTTCGTTTTCTCTTTGTCTGCCTTCACCTGGCCTCCTCCTCTCTCCAGCTCCCCTCCCTCCTGCACCTGTTTTACTTTCTGATTAATCAGCGAATGGCACTCCTCACAGATCTACACGAGCGTTTCAACGCACCGGCATGGCTTTTTTTAACACTCAGCATTGTGTGTGCATGTGTGGACACACAATGACACCCTTTAGGAAACACTTTCTGCTTCAGGGTGTTGCTCTAAGGCAGGGCTGGTCCTCGAGGGCCACTATCCTGCATGTTTTACTCGTTTCCCCGACTCAGTGGTAAAGTTACCTCTTCAAGTTCTGCAGAAGCCTGTTAATCACCCGTCCATTCAAAGCAGGTGTGTTTGAGCAGAGAAACCTCTAAAACAAGCAGGATAGGGGTTCTTAAAGACCAGGATAGGACCCTCTGGCTCTAAGGCCTTTCTGTATGATGCTCTGGGTTACAATGTTGTGCTGATTCAGCAGCCTGCAAACAAAGAAAGCATTGCCTTAGTGCTGTTTGTGTATGAAACACTCCAGCCAATTATCAACATCGACAAACACAGAACTGAAGTAGATTTTATGTTTTTGTAGAAACCCACTGTCTGTTAGTTGTGCGTCTGCTTCTTTTCAGAAACTGTCGGTCCAACAATGTTTTAGTCAAACAGAACCGACAAGAATGAAACAAAAAGTAAAGAATTAGAGGAAAATAAATGTTAAATGTAAATAAATTCTAATTATAATAAATTAATAATAGTTTTACATCTAAAAATCATATTTTATTATTTTAATCTATTTTCCTCATTCAGCAACCTATTAAATTTCTGTTATGTTTCATGTAGGAGAAATACACATTTTTTTCAGTCAGTATTTAATACAGCTGGCAAAATAAATTGTTAAAATATGTATTAGGAGATTATAAAAAATCCTTCATTTTATGGGAAGACCCCCTTGACTTAAGAGAAAACTGTTTTTTTTTAAATGGCTGCTTATTAATTATTTGTTAATCAATCTATAAGATAAATCAACTTCAGATTAATTCGTTATCAGTAACTTGCATCCTTAAGGAGTTAACTTAATTTATATCTACTCATAGTCATGTAATTAAGCGTTTTAATGATTTGGCCGATAAATCGAAAAAAAATAAATAAACAGATTAATCGATTTATAAAAATGATTGTTAGTTGCAGCCCTATTTTGGTTTAGTATTTCTAATCAAAAACACAGCTAAAGACAACCCCATCAGTCAGTGTAACGTTGATCAAACAATATCTTTGATTATCATGGATATCACCAGCAAAACATTTTTTTTTATTTCCTTTATTTATAACAGAGACAGTGCATATTAATAACATTTCTGTAAATATGCCAGAATTAGCCAGAAGGCTATATTTCTCTAGACAGATGGTAAAAGTCACCCTAAAATATTAAATGTAAAACTACATAATTACAAAATAATAATTACAATACACTTCAAAATACTTAAAATGCTATAAGCTAAAATGCATATAAAAACACAGAGCAATCTTTAGAAAAGTTGCAAAACAACAAACGGTCATTTTGTTTGCTAAGGTTAGTAACCAAGGAGGCCATCTTGAACCAGATTGCATATAAAAACAGCTTTTAATCAGTTAATTGGTTGTAGATGTACATGAAAGGATCACTGTCTGAGAGTTTCATTACAATCCATCCGCTGGTTCATGAGCTGCTGTATTTTGCTAAGGTGCACATATAACAGGCATAGAGAGAAACTTACTACAAAAAACTCTCTTCAGATGTCAATCACTGTGACGTTCGTGGATTTCTTTTCTTTTTTATTAATTTATTTATTTTTGTTTATGTAGGACTGGGTTGCAGCAGCCAACGTTTTGCAGCTCATCACTTCTCATGCCAGAGTGGGATCATCGTCATCTGAACTTTTTTTTAAAATATGCTAATTTTTTTAAATTGTTTCATCCTTTCAGACATGTTGAAAGGTTATTTTCAGAAACTATAAAAAAAATATCATTTTGTAAAAACTGTGTTTCTGTGTGGACAAGACCGTAATCCTGAAGGTGTTTTAGTTTATTGTTATTATTATTATTTTATTTTATGTCACACCTTGTTGCACACTGCTTCAGGGCCTGTTGGAGGTCCGGGTTCGATGAGTCCCACTTTATCATCAAAATGCAACAATGCTGAGTTCTTTCAGACACTTGCTGTTTATGTGAGGATATCAAGTTCAGTATAATCACTAAAAGTCCTTAAAGTCATGTTTTCTTTCACAAGTCATAGAGGTGAAACAGTATTTGTGGAGCATGCCGTGCAAGCAGTGGTGGATGGAAGCACCTGAAAACAACACTTTTCTGCGTGTTTAAATTCCCTGAACTAAAACTCTTACTGCAGCTGCTCCAGTGTTTTGAATAGAAGCTAAAATGTCATTTTGCCATTAAAACTAGTGTAAACAGTGAGTGTTAAAGCTGGTGGGTTCATTTTAAAGTACTGATCTGTAATCAGAGTGCAGAAAGGTCCAGTGGTTTTAAACAAGTTTTATTTTGTTCGTTTTCCTCAATGATGCACAAAAAACCAGGCTATAAATGAAGGAAAACCAGGAAGTAGAATTACTAACGAAAAGTAAATAAACTGCAGGTGAAATGATTGAAAATATCAAACAAGTTGTAGTTTTCTTAACTACACACAAAGTTGAACAATGCTTGTGCAAATGATATAACTTGTTATAAAGTTGCTAAAATCAGTTCTTTATTTTGGTAGCGTCTTTTA